CCCCCCCCCCCCCCTGGGAAAGCACCCTCCCATTGCCGAGGGCATGTGGCCTTGTATGTTGGAGGGAGGGGGAGCGCACGCTCGTCCCCCCCTCCTTTGCTACCCTTCCAGGCTGAAATAAGGGTCTGGTATTGGAGTTTAGGTTTTTTTTGCTCTTTTTGGCGTTGGTGCCCCCCTTAAAATTCCTACCAGACCTAAAGGGTCTGGTATGAAAAACAGGGGGAACCGTGCGCTGTTTTTTTTACATCAGGGATCCCCCATAACATTTCTACCAGACCTAAAGGGTCTGGTAACGAGAAGGGGGTGGAACCCCACGCTGTTTTTTTTTGTTACATCAGGGGCCCCTCCTAACATTCCTACCAGACCTAAAGGGTCTGGTATGAATTGTCGGGGGAATCGCACACTGTTTTTTTAACATTTATTATTTCTTTGGACTGTTTGACACTTTAGTGTATTCGGTGACAGCTATAAGATTCTTTGTCAGCAAAGAAGTAGAAGCTGTTACAGAATAACACACAGCTCTCAGCTTACATTTTCTAACAATATTCTGATACTTTGGGGTCTATTCACTAAGCTGCTGAAGGATCTAGCCGATGCATTCCTATGGTGGTTTTTTTTTAAAATTGTGACGGCAGCAGAACCGCCCGGCCAATAGAAAACAGTTGGGCGTCACTGCTAGCTCCACCCAATCGTTTGCTATTTAATTTTTTCTACTTTTTTAACTGTTTTTTCTATTCTGCTCGGTACCACCTATTCACTCACTGCTGTTCGGCATCTATGAGAATAGGCCGAACAGCAGCGAGTGGCCCGCCGGAGGTTCGGCTCAGCCGATCTAGAAGTTGGATCGGCTATTGAACTCCTTCTGCACTTCGGGTCGGTCGAACATGCCGAGCATGTTTGGCGGACTCGAAGCCAGCCGCAGCAAGCCGATGTATGGCTGATTTTAGTTGGTGTACGGCTGATTTTAATCTGTGTACGGCTGAAATCAGTCATACAAGCCTGAAATGAATAGCCGAACAGTGTTCGGCTCACTTCACTTCGGGATGGTTATTCACTCGGCTGCCTACGGCAGCTTTGTGAACAGACCCCTTTGTTTTCATTCAGGATACGAGTCCAATTTGTCAACAAAGAGCAGAGAAGCCAGAGAGCTGTAAATGACAGCACTCCCGCTTCTGTTTAATTCAGAATGAAATTCGGATGTATTCAAATTTCGTTATCTAACATTCGGATATGTTCGGATTCTTTATTTCTGTCATTTAGAAATTCGGATGCATCCAAATGTCTTAGTTTACAGAAATTCATACGAATTTCAATTCGGAACAAAATGAATCACACATGTCTAGCTGTTACATTGCCATTGTTTCATCATTAAGCTCAGAATAGGTACTCACAGAACTAATATTCACATTGTTCAGCTACAACCCACAAATGGTAAATACCAGAATGAGTTTAAAGTATGTTTTTAAGTATATCTAAATCCAAAACGTGCTTTTCTGTTTTGTTTTGGATATATTACAGAATGGTTAGAACTCCTGACATGATATTTTTTGTCCAGTCCATGCCTCATTTGTCTCAGATTTCCCTTCACTTCCTATGCCAGAGACAAAACATGAACTAAATGGAAATAACTCAATTTTGTTACCAGAACAGCTCTGACATTGGAAGATGCTCACCAGCACATACAAAAAGGGTGAATCTGCCCAGCAAAAACACTGACAACAATAAAATCCTTACAGAGGTTCTACATGCTATCAAAAACTAAATTTGGCTCTAGACACTTTAAGTATTGACGTGGGGGTGATGTTTTCCCATTTTTCAATGTTGTGCCAAGTTCCCCTCTCTCCATCAATATTTGTTTATCCTCATGGCTTTATTGGCATCTTTTACCTTGCAAGAGAATGGATGGGACTTGCTTAATGCCCTCTGAAGCCTGTGGTTACTTGGATCCCTGCCCGAGACTTATGGTTAGGATAAGCATTAAGGATCAGCTCAGTGCCCTGTGTTCATCTGTGACTGGCATATGTTTTTGTTCTTATTTACTTGGATTAAGTATAAGGTTTGTTAGCCCAGTAAAGCTATGGCCTTGTCATTCCAATATAATTGGTTTCAGAGTCAGTGATGTATCATCAATGTGTGCAGTAAGTGCAGTGCACACGGGTCCTAAAAAAGGATGGGGTGCAGCACTGTGCCGCACTGCCCACATCTATTTTTTCTTGGGCCATGGGGCCCAATTGATGGTCTCGCACACAGGCCCACTGCATTCAGAAAATGCCCCTGTTCAGAGTCTTTACTGAGCTAGATTCTCATTGAAGGATTCTATTATTCATCGATCAGGGCTCTGTAATGGTGGTAACCGCTGAAAATAGATCGGGAAATCCCGATGTATACTGGCTTTTTTTCCTTAAAAGAGAACTATGAGGTAAGTGTTTTTCCCCACAGTTCTCCTAAGGGTCACGGGAGGACATATACTAGCGTCCTCCTGTGACCCAAAGCTCATTACTGAGACCTCCGCAGCCGGGACAGATCCCGACATTACTGTCGAGATCCACCCAGCTGCGTGACAGCTGGCTCTGTCTATCTAGAGGCAGAACCAGCTGTGCCCGCCCCCTGCCCCATCCATTCCTCCAGTCAGCGCTGGAGGATCGGGAATCCCTGCAGAGAGCCGTGACTGACAGTCACTGCACTCTGCAGGGAGAAGATCGAGAAGTGAGCGAGCGACGGTATGTGTTCGCTCACTTCCCGATCTTTTGAGCCGACGTGTGACAGTTTAATTGTCACACGTCGGCTCGAACTATGAGGATGAGTGATTTTCACTCACCTCATAGTTCTCCTTTAACTTTCAGCAATAGAAACATTTAGCTACATGTGTCTATTGCTGAAAGAATGTTATAGGTTTCTGATCATTGTGGGAACGATCAGAAAACCTTTAGTGACATCTGATCCTAAAATACTGCAGGATCAGCTTATTAGGATCAGTGTTACTAAGGGTATTATTGGCTGTTCTAAAGTTTGAAGCAGCCTAATAATAACCAAAAATACATTAATTAAATTATAAGATTTGTTTTTCACCCTAAGGGGTTATTTTTTTTAAATTTAACCCCCTCATGACATTGATGTTCAAAGCATGTCGCTGTCAATCAAGTGTGACACTTAGTGACAGTGACATTGTACGCCAGCTGCCCACTTTTAGCGAAAAACTATTAAAATGTTAGATACAGAAAAATGTCTAAAATCCTAGGGATGTGAGTTTTTTTTCCAAATAAAGGACAAATACATTAATGTATTTAATGCGTTTTTTTTTAGCTGTGCTACTTTTCTAAAAAATACTACAAATCAAAACAGGGGGAAAAGTGTTTACTTTATTTTTTCCTTTTTTTTAAATTTGTCCTAAGTGAGGCGTTAGGTACACATATGTGATATAAATATATAGCCCTATCTGTCCTCTAAGAAACAATATATGGTATGTGTGGGTGCACTCTGTAAGAAAGTAAATTACTGACGTGGAAGAATCACACAGCAAAAAGTGTGTCATTCATTTACGAACAGAAACTAAAAACAAGCTCAGTCATGAAGGGGTTAATATCTTTACACTTTGACAGCCCATTTATCACAACTGAATAAATGTGAAACACAATATCTAAAATATGTTTTTAATGTTATTAGCATTTCATTTGGAATCATGTTGAATAGATATACTTTTAATTAAAAAAAAAAAAATGTTTAAACGATGTGGGTAAAAATAAATATGCATAAAAGTTCTTGAGTAACAAGTACCAGTGTGTTGGATACTGCAGACTTTCTTGTACAGGGTGTCATTTTTTCTTTTTTCATTTTTTCTTCCAAATCATCCCAGCATGTGCAACCATATACTTTGTTTTCTAATAGTAAGAGCAATGTGTCATACATGTAATGCTTTAACAGCTTTTGTGAGATTGCTGTAAAACTGAGTCATGCTGTATGGAAAAAAAGACTCCACCACAGATCTGGGAAGGTAGCCACTAAGATCCGTCTGGAAGAAGCTTAAAACTTGTGTCTTCTCTGGTTCTCTGAAATAAATGCATATAGAAAAATGAACACATATTGTACAATTCAATCATCAGATGCCAGTGGTAGTTTGGTGTAGACTGGCTAATAAAACTGGATTTCTAATTGGTTGCTGTGGAATACCACATACTGCACTTTGTATTAACCTTATGTATACCGAAAGTGAAAACTTTTTTTCCATTGTGGTTAGAGTAGGGAAGGGTTTAAACCTATGGCAGGTTACTTTTTGACATTTCTGTCACTTTTAAGAGATTTATATTTACTTCATGTCCTGTAAACACAAGCGGAAGTAAAAAGAAAATATATCCAGGTAAATCCCATGGACAGTTATCACCAGAAGAAATGTCCCAGTTGGAAGTGTTTCCCTCTATTCCGGTTCTAGTGACACCAAAAAAATTTGGATATCCCTTCCTTCTGGTCATGGTGATAGTGGTCCCCAGGACAAATAGAGAAAATTAATCTCTCTAGTGGGACGACACAGACAGCAATAAAAAAACTGAAAGGGTTTCTTACCCTCCCTTACTATCTAAAACTAAAGTTTTGGCTTTGAATACACTTCAGTAATGCATATACTTATTTTCCTTTTACTCTGCCGCTGCTCTGTTCAGCTGCTGAGATTGAAAGGAAGACTCTGTGTAAGCTCCAAGACACTAGAGTTGTAGCTTACACAGGACCTTGAGTTTCCCATGTGGCAGCATGCCAACACTAATTGGCTCAGAGCTGCCACATGGAGTGAGATTTTATATATATCTATCTATCTAGATAGATAGATATGTATATCTATCTATCTATCTATCTATCTATCTATCTATCTATCTATCTATCTAGATATATATACAGTATATCATAGCCTCAAGGTCTTGGCCACCAGAAAAGAAATGTCTGTGCTCAATTTAGATCATAGATGGTCACACCCACACTGATGACATAATGGTGAAGACCATGTAATCATTTCTCAATAAACATGAAACACAGACTTCAGAGAGGCCATCGTCAGTTTATGGATTACAGATTGGTTCCTGATTCCTTGTCATAGATGCCTGTCAACTGCAGTTAACCAAATAACTTCCACTTTTCAGCCATTGCAAACACTAGTATTTTACAAATATGACCCAAAAAAGACTTCCAAGTTCATAAAGTCCTTTGTATTGTGGTAAATCTAAAATGTGCAGGTGCACAGTGCAGCAACTCAATCAGTTATAGGCTGGCTATTGTTACAAGTGTCCATTCCTTTTCCACTTGATAAAACTGTTTGCTTTTGGTGATATATCTCAAAGTGTCAGATGTCCATGCTCCTTAAGTGTTTAATAATAATGCCCTCGCCAGCCGTACACAGAAGTTTTCCCTCTCAATGAAAGAAGAGAAGGTCCATTCTGTGTGAAGGCAAGATGTACAGCTTCTCTCCTCTCCTCCCCCGTGAGCACACTGAACGGACATTCTCTTCTTTCAATGAGAGTGAAAACAATGTGTACATGTGTACACATTGTAATGCAATGTGTACACATGTACACATTGCATTACACATAGGGTGCACGGACATCTCACACTTTCTGATATATCACCAAAAGCTAAGTTTCATCAAGTTGAAAAGGACGTCTTACCCCCCGCCATGCTGTCACACTTCCGTCCGGAGAGGTCATGGCGGAGAGGAAGCCTGCGTTTGGTGGAGAGGTATTCCGGGGGAGGGGCTATGGGGTCAATGGCCGTAACTAATTAAAAAAATTTAAAGGGCCGGTTCAAATAGTTAATTGTACAGGATATAATAGAATTTCATGTCACTCAATATATTACACATAACTAAAAATACTGTTTGCAAATTGTTTAAAGCAGACCACACATACATGGAAACATTTACAGGGTTATTCACAAAAGAGTGAAGCGTTTGGAGAAGTGAACAATCTAGGACAGCATAGCTGAACTGGAAAGTGACCTGAATTGGAGAATTTTTCCAAATCAGCTATTTTGTCCTTTCTGTTCACTTCTTCTGCCTTCCCCAAACTCTTCACCATTTAGTGAATAACCCTGTTAGTGTGCATTTATGTGCTCCAAAAAACAAGTTCTGTTAAACTTAACAGGAACATCGTAGAGTATCTTTGTAAAATGAGTTGGGTAATGAAGGTTACAGGCTTGAGTGCTTCAGATGTCTATGTGTTATAAATTTGTGACCAAAGCAATGAAGACCATTTCAGTTGCAGGCTAAAAGTTAGATTTTGTCCAAAGCAGCAGGTTTGGTCCGTGTTTTCCTTTAGCATTTTATTTTGTCAAGACATTGCTGTGAACAAAGATCTGCGCTACCGGACATGCCAAGTCTCCTTACCCAGGTATAGGAACACAGAAGCAGCCACAATGATGGTTAAAGCCTCTAACAAAGTGTCGCTGGGGAGGACAGCTTTCATGTTCAACATTTGTTGCTATAATAAAAAGAGAAAAACAGGGATGATTTATATCAGTGTTTCCCAAACTTTATTTGGTCATGCACCGCCATCAAGACTAGAAATGAGTAGTGATGGGCTGAACACACCTGAGTTTGGTTCTAACAAGAACATTAGAACATGGAAAAAGTTTTTACAAGAACTTAGAACTCAATGCAAGTCTATGGGACCAGAATTTGTAAAATCAAATATCCCCATTTTGAAGGCTTATATGCAAGTTATTGGCAATAAAAAGGGTATGGGGAGTCGGGTACTGCCCTGGGGGACATGTATCAATGAAAAAAATTACTTTTAAAAAATACAGTTTTTAACGAAGCAGTGATTTTAACAGTGCTTAAAGTGAAACAATAAAAATGAAAAATTCCTTTAAATATCGTGCCTGGGGGGTCCCCTTAAACTGCCTGTAAAGTGGTGCATCTGTATGATATATGGAACCTGTTGCAGCAAAAAGTGACATTTATAAAGAACAAAATGACATTTAAATTGCCGGTAATTTATTTTCCTTTAATCTTTTAAACAACTGCTTGGGGAGGCAGCCTGTATGAAGAGGTCACATTTTAGGACACTTGGAACAAGGTTAGAGATTTTTGGATAAATTCTGGTGCCTCTTTTGCAGACGTTGGATGAAAGTAACAACAGATATTTTGAAATTGGTTTAGTGTTGGTGGTGCCTTCACACCGTAACCCTTCAGAGTTATTCTTTACAAGTGCAGGATTGGACCCTGCTTTAAAAATTCAAATTATGTGCATCTGTCACGCAGGTGTGGACAAAATGGGCCTTTGGTTTTGGTGCCCCCACACTGTAACCCCTCACAGTTAAGCTGGCCATACACCTTACAACCATCGCAAGACTTTCGTCTTGCGATGGTTGTAAGGTAATTAAAAAAACTTACGATCTGCCCAACTTGTGCTGAGGGGCGGGCTTCCGATGACTGCAATGCTGAACGGGCAGTGTGCGCTTGCGCGCACCGACCCGTGAGGCATTTGTCTTTCGAGCAGGCCACAAACCCGCCGGAAAAAAAAATTCAAAACACACACAAAAAAAAACGGGAACACTGGTGACGCAGAAGGAGGAACACCAGTGACCCTACTGACACAAACAAAACAAAAAAGACAGCAAATATACAGCACAGAAAATAATAGTATATACAGTACAGAGTACTGCATATAGTTTTAAACTGCTGTATAAAGCACTGACACCAGTTATCTTTCCCTACACTACACTGCGCTACACTACACTGTACTATACTACACTACACTGTACTATACTACACTACACTCTATCATTAACTCCAGCAACACAACATAGACAGCGGTGTAAGCAGCTTTATATAATGTGGGGCTATGATTCAGGATTAGGCAAAGTCATCATTACTTTGCCCAATCATCTTTGCCCTTACAGTGCATTGTGCTGTGTTTGGGCAAAGTCTTGCACCTGACCTGTGGCCAGGTGCATTGCTTTACCCAATCAGGGCTCTCACAAGGCACTGTGCGGTGCGCACAGTGCCTTGTTAAGCTTAGATGTCACTGCATCAGAGGCGCTAAAGTCACCACTGCCTTCATGTCAGTCACTTAGCAGGTACACAAACAACTCATACACACATAAAAATCCCCCTTTATGACATGCAGCATCTACTCAAGAGACTGCACCCTCCAAAATGCCTATCAGAGCTGTGTAATTTAGCACAGCTCTAACTAAATTTCAGTCTGTAATTAAAAAGAGAACTTTTTTGGCAGTAGTTCTCTTTAGGGTCACAGGAGAACATTCACTAATGTCCTCCTGTGACCCAAAACTCAGCATATAGCGTGCTATTGCCTCCTATATGCTGACAGCACAGAGCCGCACTGCAGGTGGGAAAGACAATATTGTCGGGAACCACCCAGCTGTCTGATTGTCCGCTGCCAGCTGTGCCTGCCCCCTCCCCTGTCTGTTCCTCCAGTCAGCAGAGGTAAAGAAAAGGGGTGGGGAATCCCTGTGGGTAGTGGTAACTGACAGTCACCGCTCTCTGCAGGGAGAAGATCGGGAGCTGAGCGATCAGCGGTAAGTGATCGCTCACTTCTCAATGAATAAAGCCGACACTGTATATGTTACTTTGTTAATACGCTGTTATAACTGGGCAGTGATGTCCATATACATCGGTACTCACCATTAGAAGCTATAGAACCATCCTCATAGCTCTTGATCAGTACTACATCTACAAAGTCTCTGGGTGCGATAATGCCCATAGCTGCAGATGGAGTTACAGTTCTGCAGATAGAAATATCCTGTAAATGAAAAAATAATTGAAGATGAAATGACAGACAAACACGAATCCTGTTTTTTCAATGACTGACTAAGCATTGGGCAAGTAAAATATAAATGAAAAATTACTTGGCACTTCTTTTAAGTAAATATAAATAATTAAGAGGATAAAATTACAGAATTAAATGTTGTAAGCCAGGTGAATTGGGCAGCTGTATAGCACACAATGCTTACTAAGTGGTAACATTAGTCAAGCCAAGAAGATCAAATGACATGATGTTGGTGCCCAAGTCTCTTGCAGATGACAATAAAATTGTAATGAAGTTGGGGCAATTTGTCCATTATTTCTACAGAACAAGGTGCCCATAAAGACACATAGTAGCATAATTTCAGACCCAATATGTCAATATTCTTTTTGTATGGCATAAGAAAAAGACTTCTCTATATAATTGCAAAGTAAATAAGTAATTGTAAAGTAAATGATAAGTAAGTAATTGAAAGTAAATTATGTATTTGAATGGATCTTGACTCTGAAAGTGTATGCAGTCATAGCATAACGTTTGTCTCCAGTACATCAGTGTGTATGGCCAGATCTGTTCAGTTCAGCCTATGAAATATTCAGATTTTTCAGGGGCGCCTCATTATTTTGAGTTATTGTAAAGGGGAACCTGTCATGTCCTAAAAACTGACTAACACAGCAATATTTGGGAAAGGGAGCACCATGTACATGTGATAATCCTCAAAGCAATACATTTGGAGCCTCTGGATTTCAGAGTAACGGCATACAATGGACCTCAACTTCCAAGACTACGTTAAATCCCATACTCTTGCTGTGCTGTTCACCACTACCAGCATTCAACAGTCCACTCCCAGAGCTTCCAATGGCATCTGAGACTTTAGTACTGGCATACCTAATGACAGAAATGGGGCTTATTGATAGGAGGGATCGGAGCTTAGTGCCAAGATGAACAATAGCCAAGGTCATGTATACAGACTAGCCCTAAACTCCAGATGCTCCATACGGACTTTGAGATTGTATTGGAGATGATCACGGGTTCTTGCAAGTACCACAACTTGACTGCTCTTCAGCAATATTGTTAACTCAGCCAGTTGTTAGAACCCGTCAGGTTCACTTTAAGCTCATCCTTGTTTTCTGGCCCAGAAAATAAGTCCTATATGAAAGTTTTTGGCCATAGTTTTCTTTAGGATCACAGGAAGATATATGTTATGTCCTCCTGTGACCCAAAACTCAGCATATATGCGGACAGCACAGAGCCGCACTGCAGCCGGAACAGATCCCAACAATATTGTTGGGATCCACCCTGCCACCTGATTGACAGCTGTCTAGAGGCAGAGCCAGCTGTGCCCGCCCCCTCCCTTGTCCATCCCTCCAGTCAGCACTGGTAGAATGGAGAGGGAAGGGGGAGGATCCCTGCAGGGAGTAGTGACTGACAGTCCCTGCTCTCTGCAAGGAGAAGTTTGGGAACTCAGCGATTGGTAGTATGCGATCCAGAGTTGTGATTTGTTTTTAAAAACTACTTGTTCAAGGACTAAAGCCGCGGCCCGATCTACTTGTCCCTCGTGACAATCTACAATCTAATTTAACCAAAACAATATTTAGGAGTGCTAGGAAGCGCTTCTCATTGGTCAGCGCCATCAGATGACCGCGCTGACCAACGAGTGCTTACAATTTGTGAGCGAAATTCAGAATACATGGCACAGATAGGACCCCCGTACCGGTGAAAGGGAAGGACTGTTCGCCGAAAGGTAAGTATAGCAGAGAAGGAAAGAGGGCCAGATTTGTGCGGGTAATTCCATTTTCCCAAATTACTTGGGAAAGTGAATTTACTATTTAGGGCTGGTGCAGACTTGGGTGATCGTGTGCGGTTGCATACAGCGGTTGCCATGCGGCCCCATTGATTTCAATGGGGTTACATCCGCGTTGTAATGGCTGGAAAAAGGTACATGTACCTTTTTTTGCGACACACACCACACTGTGTTTTCAACCGGAATCGTGCGCGATTGCACAGGTGGTATTGTGTCGGGAAACCGCACAATCTGCCAGGCGTGACTGGGGTGCCATTAGAAAATAATGGCACTGCAAGCGCGATCGGCGGTGGTGTGCGATTCCGTGACTGTTTGATCATACCATCACGGATCGCCCAGGTGTGCACCTGGCCTTAATGCACATTGTGCATGTTAGAGAGCGCTGCTGCCCGCCCACCACAATATGGCACTCAGTGGAATGGGTACACCACTCCGATCACACACACAATGCCCTACGCATGCGTTTATTCGCATGCAGATGGTGAGGGCAGCGGGGTTGGTTTTAATTTTTTTTATTTTTATTTACATAATGTTTTTTTACTTTCTACATTTTTTTATTTATTTCCATTTTTAATTATGTGCATAATATATATATAATATATAGTACAGGTGGAGGGCAGAGAGGCAGTGTTCGAGGAGGGGAGGGGGAGCGAGCATCAGGCTGCTTACAAGTGATCTTGATCTTGAGCTGTACAGCCGCTCAAGATCACTTGTACAAAACGCCTCCTCCTGCTGCTTGCCCACAGCAGGGCTAAATGTAGGAAAAATTACCCACCTGGCGCCCATAACTGCATGTCCCTTCCTTTCTTGTTTCCATAGCACACACATCGGACACTCCAGTCTTTCCCATTCTGGAGCCGCACACCAGCGAACGACACCACGATCCCCCCCAGAGAGCACTAGATACACTGGACTTTCTTTTTGTAACTTTTTCTTGACTGAGTCACCTGACCTCATGATATCATGGGCGCAGGCACCCAATGCACTCTCTGTATCTATACCTTAGATATCAAACATTTGTTTTTTCATATGGTTTCAGTATATGATCCGGTGTAATATGATCCATCACTTACTAAAACCAATATACCTACCTCAGTTACGGTTTCTAAAAGTTGAAAATCCTCCACATTGCTGTCCCATTTGACTCTCAATCCACCAGGCTCTGGTTTCAAACAATGCCAAACATGTTCTGGTTTTCCAGCCACAATACCTTCACCTTTATATCTGAATACAGAAACACATTATTTCATAAACATTTCCACTGTAATAATATTTTCTTATTGTTAATAATAAAGTTCTGTGCAAAAGCAGTGTGCAAGGATAAATAAAAGCTGCCTACTAAAAACTGAAGCCAATATCAGATATGAGAATATATGACAAAGTCAGAATGTCTCATTGTGAAAGATTTCAGTAATTGCACAGGGACACCCTTTCTCAATATCTGCAGAACAGAAAAATTGGTTGAAATCCTTGCAGTGTGCATAGTTAGCCATGGCGGATATTTTCCTCAACAAAATTGTATCTTCACTTTAGATGTGAGCCTGTCTTATGGTACATAGTAGGTGGGGGGGTTGATTTACTAATGAAGTAGCATAATGAGTAATGTAAAGCAGAGTCACTTCATCATATTTGAATTAAAGTTTAGTGAATTTGTATTGTATGTAATGGCACACCCACCCTTCTCAGTACAACCTGCATACCTTACTCCCCATTCCAGTGATCTTCACTGTGTGGTCCTGCCTAGTGCCCTATAACCTTTCTAGCAAAAAGGGTGCACATGTGCCGTAGCCCCATCAATTCTATGGGTACGCTGTATTTCGCTAGATGACTGGAAGAATTACCTATAGGGATGACTGGGGCTGTGACATGTGGTCATTTTTTGAAGAGTGGTCAACAGAGACATTTTGACTAGGAAGGCTGTGCTGTGCCAGGCAGACCCCGCACAGTGAAGATTGCCAGATCAAGGAGCAAGGTCAGTATTTAGCAAAGCAGGCCATACTAATGCAGAGTAAACCAATACATAGAGTACATGTTCAATAAGAGTAAAAATCCTGTTATTTTTTTTACCTTTCCTGCAAAGTGAACGCAGTTTCCATGCTTTAGTTGTATACTAATGGTATACCTGCCATCATATCACATTGACGCTGACAGTTCCCACAGTGTTACCCTCGTTCTGTGTAGACACAATCTAAATCATTTTGGTAAAATGGTGCAGGCGAGGTGATGAACACAACCAAATTTATGATAAAATGTATTTGCTACTGTATACCACCATAGAGACCTCTATAATAAATGCAATCATTTGCTACCATAAGTGGTACACTAAACCTTTAACACAATCCTTTACATTACAATCATATATTTTACATTAAAAATAGGAGAACTATGAGGTGAGTGCTTTTCACTCACCTCATAGTTCTAGCCGACCTGTGACAATGAGACTGTCACAGGTCGGCTCAGTAGATCGGGAAGTGAGCGAACACATACCGGCGTTCCCTCACTTCTCGATCCCGTCACGGCTCTCTGCCTTGACAGGGGTGGGGCTGGATTCCCCTCTCCCTGCTCCGATCCGCCAGCGCTGACTGGCGGAACGGACGGGGGAGGGGGCGGGTACAGCTGGCTCTGCCTCTAGATAGGCAGAGCCAGCTGTCACTTACGCAACTGGGCGGATCCAGACATAACTGTCGGGATCCGCTTCTGCTGCGGCGTCTCAGTATACCGCGAGCTGTAGCTCGCAGTATACTGAGCTTAGGGTGACGGGAGGACGCTAGTTTGTGTCCTCCCGTTACCCTAAGGAGAACTATGGGGAAAAGCCCTGACCCCATAGTTCTCCTTTAACTATTACATTACATTATTATTATTTTAAAAAGCCAATAAAAAGGAAATATAGTGATGAATAAAGCATGTTTGGGCATAGTTAATCATTTTTTGCTTACTTTTCATGATCCATGGGGGAACTGGGGGCATGTCCTTTGGCTACACACTGGGAGGCATGCTACCGGGCCACTGCTGGAGAGATTTTAAACAACTCCAACATGTTTAAAATAAACCCTTGCCGTGGGGCTACCCCCACTGGTTGTTTTGTCTAGGGTGTAAAAATAATGAAGAAATACTCACCGGATCCTCGGTCTCGCCTGGCTGCTTGACCGGTCCCCACAGCCTCTTCTCCCCCAGGCTCTGGTGGTCTAAGGACACATGATTCTATTAGACATGAAGACGCCAAGGAACATAGCAGAGCCAGAGCGTAGGGGGAGATAGGTGAGCTAGGACTGAGGATCAGGTGAGTATTTGATCTTCATTTTCGCCCCTAGAGAAAACTGGGCAGTTAACCCTTGCAGTAAAAATCCTGGAGTTGTTCTTTAAAGCCCCTCCCAACTCACAAAGTTATGGATGTCCGGAGGGCCCAGAGTTGTATATAGATCACATAGGGTTGTTAATTTTGTTACGTTTTTAAAATAATTTTCATGCAGGACACTTAGGGCCTGTTCTCACTAGCCACACGCTAAAACTGTCTTTACCCCAGTAGCCAGTCCAGTTGCCTTGACTTATTTTATACAGATATACCATGACCTGGATGAATGAGAACCTTCACAGACATTTAAACAATGGGAATTCTCTGTTAGGAAAGCAGTGGTTTAAAAGCGATTACTGATTAACTCCTTCATCTTCATAAAAACGCATTAATCATTAAATACTGTATAACATTTTCATTCTATTACTTACAAGTTACCAGTGAACTCAGATGAAGGTCTCCAATACACGGCTACATCACCCTGCACAGGAAATACACACATGAGTTATCCGTCACCATATTATTTCAGTTATAAATATTGTGTCAGTTTTATGTTTAATGATCTCAGTCTCAGGAGGAGCAATTGGAATATTTTCATACTGTTAACCATTAACCTTAAATGCTGAAGATGCACAAGAATAGGTGAGTGACATGTAAAACACAAGACCACCCCTGGGTAAAGTACCACATTTTAGAACATCAAGTCCACAAACCTAAAGCTGAACTCTGGGAAAAAATGTTATTTCAGATACTGCACTAGCAGAGTAATATAGTCCTAATAAAATGTATATTGTGTGTGCATGGCTGCTGCTTAGTATAAAATCACGCCTTGCTACAAGCCGCATCCTCCACATAGCACTGGATTTCCGGGTGCTGCTGAGATGAGAGCAAAGGCTATAGTGGTGAAGGGCTGCAGTCGCATTCTCGCCCCCTTCTCTCTCCTCGCCTATTCACAAATGTCCTTGTACTCTACAGAATACAAGGAGTTCTGTGAATGGAGCAAAGGAGAGGGCGGGCAGGAATGTGACAAGATCTCTCCTCCTCTATTCACAGAACGACATGTATTCTGTGAAAAAAATGCAAGGCTTTTTGTGAATGGGCGAGGAGAGAGAGGAATGCAAGGATGCGACTGGAGCCCTTCACCACTATAGCTGCTACTCTCACTCTTGCAGCCGGAAACCCAGAACTGTGTGTACGATCCATTTTTATACTAAGCAGTAGCCGTCCACACCGTATACATATTATTAGGGCTATCTGGGCTAATGCTGTATCTAAAATTAAAACAAAATCCTGGAGTTCAGCTCTAAACTGTATTCCCACTTTACAGTCAAATTGGACACAAATTGGAATGCTGTCTGTTATGTGTTCCTATTCACACACTGCAGCATACCGACAAATATTATTAAAAACATATATTTCTTATCTTTTAAATGTCTCTGTGCAGCCGGCCTTTGTAGACTCTTAATTCTCAAGTAACAGTACGCCGTCTGGCTCCATACAAAAAAAGGGACACTCTGAGCTTCCTGTCATTAACATACAATGTTTCTAGCTCTTTAACCCTTTGTTAGGGCAGACGTTGTTCAAACCTAGTTTACAACTGATAATGAGATCTGCCAGCACAGTACAGACAGGGTTCATTATGTTAACATGAACCTGCCCATCCCCACCTTGCATTACAGAGCAAATCTAGTACAGAGAACAATGTTTCCTTCAGAACTAAGTTCGTTTTGTGCAAGCAGCAATTTAAAAAAAAAAAGGTTATGCTATATGCACGGGTGTCCCGAGGCTGGGTAACACCCGGAGTGGAGACCCGGGTGACATTTAGAGTGGAAACCGGGTGACACCCCGTTGTGACGTCATCGCACACACGTGGTCGTCCTGCCGGGGGCCATCTTGGTAATGGGGGCTGGCAGAGAGAGGAGGGGACGTTCACCTGGCCGGGTCCCCTCCACTCTCCTGACACTGTCGGGCTCTCGGTCCGTGACCGAGTGCCCAACTTTTCATAGGGGTGACACCAAAATGACTCAGTCATTTTGGTGTTACCCCTCAAATGGTGCCACCCGGGTGTGGGCCGCACCCCCCTTGTGACGCCACTGGTTAAATGAATAAGAAACATGAAACAAATATTTAATAGGTTGTTATCCCAATTTGGCTGCATAAGTGGAAATACACTTCAAATCTAGTGTTCTGTTCACCAAGTTGGATAAATTGTTTGAATGTTCCTGAAGGCTAGGGCAGAGAAGGGGTATTGAGGTGGACATGCAAGTACTAATGATAACATTAGAATTGTTGTGTGCTCCACAGCATTTCTCTGAATAAAAACTGCAGTAATAATGCTATAGTCACTGTTCAGTGGAATTGTTCTTCAACCATCCCGCTCCACCTAGCCTAAGGCTGTGTTAGATACTAGGAGTGTATACAGGTACTCAAAACATTTCTGTAGCAAGCCGAAAATAAAATAAAGGTATTTGAGTCATGTAAGGGGTCAGTACACCCAAAACTGATATTTCGGTTTTTGGTAGATGCTGTAGAGTTGAACCATCGGTTTTTTTTTTTTTATCTCTTAGGGACACTATTAGTGAAATATCTGCACTTAAAAGATAAGTGTGCAAACAAAGTGCATTTATTATTTTTCCACCCTCCTCCTTTGCAGATGTATACTGACCTCGATCTGATGCCAATGGCTTCCAGGGATTGTTTACATTCCACACTGCAAAGTCCTCTCTCTCCTGACCATGCATGTGCAGTAGTTCCCCTATACACATCCATGGGACTCATTAGCCTCCATCTCCCAGCTGGGCTGAGATAAGCCCTGTAGGCATTGATGGGGTTCTACTCAGCAGATGCGGCCAGGATTCAGAGGACTTGTATCGCTAGACTGCTATGTTTAAATCAATTGCTTTCTTTGTATCATGTTTATTTTCATGAGAGCTGCCACAAAAATATCTCCCACAATCACAACATGCCTCAGTTTAATCACTTCTATTACTGTACTATATAACCTTAAATGAGAACTATGAGGTGAGTGAAAATCACTCATCCTTATAGTTTGAGCCAACGTATGACAATGAAACTGTCAAACGTCGGCTATATAGATCGGGAAGTGAGCAAACACATACCGTCGCTCGCTCACTTCTCGATCATCTCCCTGCAGAGAGCGGTGACTGTCAGTCACCGCTCTCTGCAGGTATTCCCACTGAGGAGGGGGTGGGTACAGCTGGCTCTGCCTCTAGATAGGCAGAGCCAGCTGTCATTCACGCAGCTGGGAGGATCTCAACAGCATTGTCCGCACCAGTCCCGGCTGCGGCGGTCTCAGTATACCGCGAGCTGTAGCTTGCGATATACTGAGCTTTGGATCACGGGAGGAGGTTATAAGTCCTCCCGTGACCCTTAAGAGAACTACGGGGAAAAACACTTACCCCATAGTTCTCTTTTAAGGCCCTGTTCACACCGGAGCGATTCGGCTGCGCGGATCCGCTGACATAAACGTTCCCATACATTGCTATGGGGACTGTTCATGCGACCGCGCGGCTCAGCGCAATCTGAACACACCCCCCCCCCCTTCCCGAACTGCTCCCAGCGCTATTTTTGTCTCGCTGATCAATGTGGTTTCCATACAGCTTTTAATGGAACTGCGCTGATCAGCACGGTTGTGAGCATTTTTAATATCAGTACTGAAACGCAATTAAAAACTCCAAAAATCTCCCTTTTGGAATCAGCGCGGAAACCACGCTGATCCGCAGCCACCCTGGTGTGAATGGGCTCTAAATCTCTGGTTCTCTCTCCCATAGACTTGAATGGGTATAGGAGAAACATTGCTCAGCAGTTTCTCCTATAGGGAGTTGGGTGTATTTTCATTCAAGTTAGGGATGCCGTGATGGTACTGGGCATTTTCACTATTACTTGTACTCGTGAAAATGAATGATACTAAAGGCCAATACCGACCCTTTACATTTTTAAAGAAGAGCAGCTGCCTGATGTCCCACGCTTGCTTGGGGCTTTAGGCAGCCTGCTGGGCACCTCAGGCAGTTTTCTTTGACAGTGCCGGTCTGGCTGCACATCGCCTCATGCTCCTTCCCGAGACCAGCACAGCAAAGGACAGCCCCACACCTGTATGTGCAGCCATGGAGCCTGGCACAAGGCTCCCTGGTGAGACCCGCCTGCAGTCCTGGTGAGACCTGCAGGCAGCGCTGGTGTGACCCAAACGCAGCCCTGTATAATTGCTGTATAATCATGGAATGATGGGATCTGTAGTCCTCTATTGCTGGTTGCCATAGATAATGGCAACTGGCTATAGAGGACTACAAATCTCAGCAATAACTGATTGCTGGTTGCCATTCTCTATTGCTGAATAATCATGGATTGCTGAGATTTGTAGTCTTCTATAGCCAGTTGCCATTCTCCATTACTGTATAATCATGGATTGATGGTATCTGTAGTCCTCTTTTGCCATTCTCCATTGCTGAATAATCATGGAGTGAGTTACAGTTCTTCATGATTATAAATAAACTGTGCTAAAACCATTAGTCTGTATTGTTTTAGAAAAAAGTCACATGTTCCTTTAAGAAAAAGTGTTGGAATTGGTACCGGCAAGTACTTGAGGAAAAGTACTTGTACTTGGTCTCGAAAAAATGGTATCGGGGGCCATCCCTAATTCAAGTTTACCTTAGTTAAATAAATCTCATGAGACCCTATCAGTTGCCCAACAATCTCATCTTTAAAGGAGAACTATGGGGTTAAGGCTTTTTCCCATAGTTCTCCTTAGGGTAACGGGAGGACACAAACTAGCGTCCTCCCTCACCCTAAGCTCAGTATACTGCGAGCTGTAGCTCGCGGTATACTGAGACGCCGCAGTATACCGCGAGCTGCTGGTCGCGGTATACTGAGACGCCGCAGCTTAAGCGGATCCCGACAATTATGAAGTGATCCGCCCAGCTGCGTCACTGACAGCTGGCTCTGCCTATCTAGAGGCAGAGCCAGCTGTACCCGCCCCCTCCCCCGTCCGTTCCGCCAGTTAGCGCTGGCAGATCAGAGCGGGGAGAGGGGAATCCAGCCCCCCCCCCCTGTCACGGCAGAGAGCCGTGACAGGATCGAGAGGTGAGCGAACGCCGGTATGTGTTCGCTCACCTCCCGATCTACTGAGCCGACCTGTGACAGACTCATTGTCACATGTCGGCTAGAACTATGAGGTGAGTGAAAAGCACTCCCCTCATAGTTCTCCTTTAAGCACCAAACAGTGCATAACCACGGCACCCATTCGTTGTGTAATGGTGCAGAGCCTGGCGATGACATCATCACTTCAATTCCATCTCTTCATCACTGAGGACTCATTTGCAGGAATCAGCTAAATAGCTGCACAGAGGCTGCTTAGAATTGTATCACTTAAAGAGACTCTGTTGCTATTTGAAGAAAAAAACAACCAAGATGTTCCATGTAAATTCCACTTTGTTGCAGGTCTATGCTTGCTGAAAGATTTCCAGGGACCAGCAGAGAAGCCACGCTCACTGCAGTGATCTGACTCTTCTAACTAAAGATATCAGCGCTGCAATTCAGCTACAAATTCAACACTTTCAGGAGTGTCAGATCGAGAAGACACTGCAAAGAGCCCGAACTCTATTGATTCTACACTACTGGGAATGTCAATGTTGTAATATTTCTTACATTAGCGGCTTGATTAGCTTTATGTGCATATACAGTATATATTTATTCCAATTCCCTAAATCTGATTGGCTATTTGAAAGGAGAAAAGGTTGTGGGGGAATGACTTGTTTAGTAACCCAGAATATTAACAGCCTAAGGCTATCCATAGACATGGCCCAGTCACTCCAATTGGGCCATTTTCTGCCTGGTCTAGTGATATTCTCACATCTATGGGACCTGTTCCAAGCTGATCTTGGGTTGCTCATCTCCTCCCTGGTAACAGCAGCTATATACCTTCTTATGGTTACTGATTTAGGAAGCATTTAATCCAGGCAGCCAGGTAACTAGTTTTTTTTTCAGAAGACGTTCTTTATTGACAGCCTATTTATTTTCAGGTCAACTGTCCTTCCCAATACAAATAAAAACCCCATCACAATATTGATCTACAACCCAGAAAGTTTCACTGCAGTACCTCTTTTCTGCCACTAGATGTCCTGATGGGTCAGCAACAGTCAACTCATCTCCTTTGATCCCAGGTTGTCCTACTCAGACTGTGATTGAATAGTGAAAGAAGGGGCAGCACAAGGATAAGCTCACATGTGCTGCTTCTTCCTACCAGGGCCAATTAGACCTATCCAGTGCGGTGGTTGCGGCACCATCCATTGTCAATGGCACCTCTAATGCACAATGCAACACACTGCACTGGAAAAATTGTGCATGTCTGAATTTCAGTCCTTTCTGGTGCGCCGGCAACCCATTATTTAGAATGGATTGTCTTAATCCAACTCCTCAAATGCAGAAAAAACCCCCACATGCATTAACATAACACATGGGTATGAATGGGCATCCACACCCTAAGCAGGGGCTGCAAGAATATGATATCAGGTCCAATTCAGTTCCTTACACTGCTTGCTTTAAAAAAGAAATTTAATGATGTATTAAACCTGAATTCCGGGCATAAAAACCTTAATTTAAATATACTGTATACTACAGTAGCCACAAAGGATATAAATCAACTCAGTGTGCTCCCAATGCATTTAGAAACCCAGATATTTCCTTGTTAAAGTAGAAGTGACATCATCATTGTACTGTAGATAGAGAGCAGAGCTGTGGGAGGGACCCAGCAGGCCCCACCCTCTCCATGCTTCCTGTAGAAAACTACAGGAGAGGGCGGATACAAGACCAGCCACCCTGCACAAGAACAGTAACTGGTCTTTATTACAGGAAGCTCCTTCAAAGAGGCAAAGTCTCACACTGGATTACAGCACAGACCTGGAAGAAATACACAAAGCTCACCAAGATTTCAATAAGACTACTCATGCCTCTTGTATTAAGACAATATGTGCTTATCCCGGAGTTCAGCTTTACAGTGACATTAAAGGATACACCCCCCCCCCCCCCCCCATTGTCACCCCCATTTGAAAAGTCGGGCACTCGGTCATGGACCGAACACCCGACAGTATCAGGAGAGAGAGGAGGGGACCCGATGCCATACCTTATCTCACCGGGTGACTGTCACCTCCTCTCTCTGCTGACGTTCATCACCAGGATGGCCGTCGGCAGGTATCAAGAATATCGCCGTGCATGTGTGGTGAAGTCACGGCAGGGTGTCACCCGGTAACCGCTCCGGGACGCCACTGTCCCCACACATGCTGCTTTAAGGACTTACCTTAAATGATGCCTCACGATCCGATCATCTTCTTCTTTCCAGTAGTTTTCAGGAGTCCCTCCAGCTCTGGTGCCAGTGTCTGTTCCAGCGCTGACTGCTGTGTCTTCCTGTCCCACGGAGTCTGTGAGGGTGCACGCTGCCGGCTGTGTGCATTGACTTACCCTGCGCCCGCATGCGCCCGTCCCATCATCCTTTGCAGCCGCTCGAGAATTTTTCAGATCTTCGGACTGGAGCGAGTGTTTTTGCATATAACTGCTGCTTGCTAGCGGTACATAGATTATATGCAACAAAGAAGTAAGGTTTCATTATCCTCTAATGATTCCACACTGCATTCATTTGTGTCTCTTCTATCTGTCCAGAGAGGCCAGAGTCAATGTAAAGATTTCATCACAATAGCTCTCATCCATATATGAGTACTGAGGAGTCTCAGATCAGGTTATAAAGGACACTTATTAGGAAGTCCCTGACATTTGTTCCTGTGAAATGTGTGCTGTGTGATCCTATAATGAATGATACATTTCCTCTTTCATTGTTACAAAGATGACTCGCACAGTGACTGTCCAATGACATCAGTTCTATGAGCTGACAGAGGGAAGTACCTGATCCCCCATAGACATTGTGCAGTAATGGAAATTGCTGTGTGTTCTCGGCTATAGCATAATGGCAGCCGGTCTAGCAGTATGACATAACAGAGGGAAGGATTCCCCATAGACACTGTGCAGTACTGGCCATTGCTGTGTGCTCTCCTTACTATAGAATAATGACAGCAGGTCTAGGACTATGAGATGACAGAGGGAAGTATGTGATCCCCCATAGACACTGTGCAGTATTGGACATTGCTGTGTGTCCTCCATACTATAGAATAATGACATTCAGCAGCAGACACAAGACATCTGCCTGCTGGCTCGGATCCCTGTAGGGACGATGCTCTGTATCTTTACATCTCAGATATTTATAAACACATCTCATCCTAGTATATCCAATCACAGACACAACCCTGCAGTGCCACATCCACATTCTCAGCCATTCATCCACTTACCGTTTTCTTGCATTGCTTCCAGCCAGTCGGGTCCGTCCTGTACGCCTGCAGTCTATCGGCGGCAGATCTAGCGACCTCCGTATAGTCCATGGATGCTGATGTACCACAATCAGAGCTAATAAGGTGGGAGAAGAGCTGCTCCTGAAGGTGACAAGTGTTGGGCAGTAGATAGGAGGACCTGGCGGACTGTCCCTCCCCTCACCTCATCAGGCTCCCTCCCATGTGCTGGTACTACACGTCAGTCCCTGTGATAGATGGACTACCCGGCCAATGGCTGCCGTGCCTCCCAGTGACTGCTGTGTGATCGAGCAGAATGAAATGTCACACATCAGGTTTCCCATTCATCATTGCTGGATCTAGTGCTGAGTGTAGAGTATTGATCTTGGGCTGCTGGCTGTGTGATGTGTGATTATAGGAGAACACAGACATACACATAATACAGCACACTGGATTACACAGAGACACCAGTGGTGTACAGCAGTGCTCATACACACCATATACATTCGCCTGCGTTAGCACCGCAGCATTACGCTAAACGCATGGTATGATACCTTATCGCACAGCACACATGGCGTGCGATATCATGCGCTAGATGCATTTAATAGCACCCCAACACCCCTCTTGCTGGCTGTTCATTTCAGCGTGGTGCTGCAAAAAAAAGGTGCATTGCAGCAAAAAAGTAGTGCATGCAACACCGGGAGGTGCATTGGGGTCTATGCATTACAATGCACGTTATTGCCTGCGGTATTGTGCACTACGTGCATTGCCATTCATTTGCATAGCACCCCAACACACCATGCAGCGCAATGCGGTACTACAACACTGTGCATTGTGGTGAAAAAAGCAGTGTACACGCGGCCGCAGGCAGGTGCTTTGGAGTGCGTGCAATACGTTTCTCCACCACAATGCATGGTATTAAGGTATGTGCATTGCACTACGCTGCAACACACAGCCACTGAGAGGTGCGTTAGGGTGCTATTCAATGAATATCAAGACACTTAGCGCATGGTACCACATTCTAGGTGTGCTGTGTTGTACTGTGCGTTTAGCGCAACACTGTGGCTTGATGGGTTCAAGGGGGGGTTGGGAAAGGGGGGACTGTGGAATAGATCATGTTTGAAAATTGGTGTAACATAAATCATGGCACCAAAGGTGGGTTTTCTATTATAAGCCTTGCTCGCTCCTGTGATGGACTACAGTCTCGTGTTTAGTTTACTAATTTGTATTGAGATTGTAGTCCATCACAGGAGTGAGCTTGGAGCGGTGGCTACTTTACAACACACACAGGGACCATGGGGAACAAAAGTAGCCCCCCTCCAGAAGGAAGGACAGTGTCAGCACCAATTCAGAGATACACAAATAAAACACCATACACATTGAATATCAGTTGTTAAACAGATAGTTAGGTTCTGGCATTGGGATTGTGCTTTTTGTCATCAACTGAAGCTCCCTTGGAATGTGTTTATTCGTTAGGAAAGGCTTTTATTGTCATTGGTGCAGTATAAAGTCTGGCTTAATTGTGTGTATACTGGGTATAATGCATAATACAAGCTGGATCCTGGTCAGCTATTCTAAACCCCTCCAAAAAGTAATAAGATGTATAAATATGTTTTGTAATTTCTATTTATAGATTCTAGGGGTCTGTAATGTAAGAGAATTACTTACCTTATTTCTGGCTTCCGAAGGCTTCTTCCTTATTGGTTCCAGGGTGGACGCCTCGTTCTGTAAAGCTGTCCCTACGCTCCCATTCCTGTAGCAGCCCCCTTACCATCATTACTTACAATCTATGACCAGTGACCACCACTGATCCTGTGCTGTACTGAATGACATTGACGGGCTGTCCACATGCCAGGGCTGGAGCAGAGGAACATTCCTCTTCATTACACCAGCCTGGACTAAACCAGCAGTAACACATGAATATACACGGAAGAGGAGAAACCCCAATTACACCAGAGTTACCTACACATTCTAAATATGAGTCTACAGGTGCTTAACCACGTTGTACATTTGTGCTATATTGGGTAAAAGCTATTTTGCATTTGTTTGCCCATCAGCAGAGTCCACATGGCCAAGCACCTACAATTTGGCCACATGATCAGCAGTAGAGGGATCCAGGAACAGAAGTTAATATTTAAACACAGGTACTTGGGTACATACATAGGTATGCCTTAAAGACCAACTCTACCTTTATCTTTTTTTTTTCTAGTTTTGGATAGTGTGGTTACAACCTACATAGTTACATAGTAGGTAAGATTGACAAATGCATGGGTCCATCTAGTTCAACATATATGTCTGTGTGTGTACATGTACTAGTCATTCCCAATCCCCTGTATATCCTCTGATCTGAGAAAACTCATATGTGTTAGAAGTTTATTGCTGTGTCCCCATTGGGGAGATCCATCCTTGGTTCTTGCCCATGTTGCTGAAAACAGAAAAACAGACACAAATGACAATAAAAACAATTATTTAAAGTAAAGTTGAAGGGTGTCTAAGTAAAGTTAGAATCTCTGTCCAGTTGCTACTACTATTTCCTCTTTATTTTCAGTGTAGATGACACCCTGTGATAGAAATCTCCCTAGTGACATAAAACAGCAATAACAAAATGTTGTCACCTTTCACAACTCTGTCACTGGAAAAAATCTTTGCGTGGAGACAGGTTTTTAAGTCATATTCACACCAGTGAGCTTTGCCTGACATTAGTATTTTTGATAAATATTTAACTGCAGTTTTATGCATCAGTATTCTCAATGTTATGCCCACTGCTGTTGGGAGAAAATACTGGAGATGACTGTGTACTGTGGCAGTGCATGTCATAGCGCACTATAATATGCAGAGAACATGATAATGTGCATTCTCATGTAACTTGGAATTTGAGAACTTAAAAAAACACATTGGAACAGAGAAATACCCTGGTTGTAAACTATTGACATGTGGTGTCCTCAGACACTATGAGAACATATTTAAAATGCAATAAAGCACATTAAACAGACATCCTAAAAAAATGCACATGAAAATGCCCATTTTAAAAGCTCTTTTAATGTAACATCAATACATAGGAAACAATCAAAAACACAAAAACATGGAGATGATTTTGTTTAATGTTAAAACAACCTTCCCCCCATTGTAAGTTTCCATTGTGAGTAGTCTCTGGATCACTCTGATTTATGGGTAATTGCAACATTTAGAAAATTGTGCATGCAAAGTCTTTGCAGCCAGTGACACATAGAAAGATCTTCTAATTCTCCTTCAATAATCACCGGCATTATTTTCTCCTCTCTGATGGCTTCCCTAGCAGCTAAAAGCTCTTCCCAGGTTATCGGATCATGCAAGGTGCGGTCAGGGAATCGCTGATTGTAGTAGTCAAAGTGTGTAAACTCCAGAACCAAGCCTAACCCTGGAGCGCGAGGGATGTTGACCTTGTCCATCTGCACAGAATGACGCAGTAGGTCTGGAGAGACAAGGCCTCGTGCAACTGCAACGATAAGACAAACCATTTTCCGAATCTGGTGCAGCATAAAGCTATGTCCTTTGACCATAATGCGTGTGAATTCCACACCATGATGAAGAAATGGCTCTGAGCAGCAGGTATGCATTATGTGTCTATGTGCACTCTTATCAGTAGCCAATTTACAATTTGTGAAGTTGTGGAAGTTGTGCGTTCCTTTATAGAAAGAGAGAAGCCTATTGATCTCATGGAAGTCTTTTCGGGGTAATCGGAAGCTGGAGTCAGGGGAAACACCGCCGCTTCTTGACAGTGCATATGTGGGCAATGTGTAGGAATACGTCCGAGCGTCACACATCTTCTTGGAGTCGAATCCACTAGTCACTCGCTTTATGCCTGATCAAGAAAAATAGTCATCATGGGAAATAAGGATATGCAAGCCATGAAAACACTGAAAACACACCCATTACTTGTACAGGTGAAACTCGAATAATTCGAATATCGTACAAAAGTTCATTTATTTCACTAATGCAACTTAAAAGGTGAAACTAATATATGAGATAGACTCATTACATGCAAAGCAAGATAGTTCAAGCCGTGATTTGTCATAATTGTGATGATTATGGCTTACAGCTCATGAAAACCCCAAATCCACAATCTCAGAAAATTAGAATATTGTGAAAAGGTGCAATATTCTAGGCTCAAAGTGTCCCACTCTAATCAGCTAATTAAGCTAATTAAGAGAGACATGAGACCGAACAATGCAGAAGAGCTGAAGGCCGCTATTGAAGCATCCTGGTCTTCCATAACACCTCAGCAGTGCCACAGGCTGATAGCTTCCATGCCACGCCGCATTGAGGCAGTAGTTGCTGCAAAAGGGGCCCAAACCAAGTACTGAGTACATATGCATGCTTATACTTTTCAGAGGTCCGATATTGTTCAATGTACAATCCCTGTTTTATTGATTGCATGTAATATTCTAATTTTCTGAGATTGTGGATTTGGGGTTTTCATGAGCTGTAAGCCATAATCATCACAATTATGACAAATCACGGCTTGAATTATCTTGCTTTGCATGTAATAAGAGAGACATGAGACCGAACAATGCAGAAGAGCTGAAGGCCGCTATTGAAGCATCCTGGTCTTCCATAACACCTCAGCAGTGCCACAGGCTGATAGCTTCCATGCCACGCCGCATTGAGGCAGTAGTTGCTGCAAAAGGGGCCCAAACCAAGTACTGAGTACATATGCATGCTTATACTTTTCAGAGGTCCGATATTGTTCAATGTACAATCCCTGTTTTATTGATTGCATGTAATATTCTAATTTTCTGAGATTGTGGATTTGGGGTTTTCATGAGCTGTAAGCCATAATCATCACAATTTTGACAAATCACGGCTTGAACTATCTTGCTTTGCATGTAATGAGTCTATCTCATATATTAGTTTCACCTTTTAAGTTGCATTAGTGAAATAAATAAACTTTTGCACGATATTCTAATTATTCGAGTTTCACCTGTATACTTGAAGCTTGTATACTAATTTCATGGCAATACAATGTTTACCATTTGTAGTGTAATTATATGCAGATGACAACACTATGTAAGGCAGGGGTGAACAAATCAATATGGAATTCAGGAGCCATTTGG